AGAAAATAAAATTGGCTTGAATAAATTTGATCATTTCTAGATAATTGTGTAACCCTATCATAAGCAGCTTGCAAGTCACCAAAGACTTGTGCATAAACAATTTTAGCAAGATAGGCACTGTTACAATGGAGAGAAAGGGAGTAACCAGGACATTAGGCAAGTGCCCTTGCAATATAAACTCATGAAGCTTGAAAGAAACTTATAAAGCTTGATTTTCCTTGTATCCACCACTTGAATCCTAATTTGCTTTGAAACAAAAGGACTGAGTATAGATGATTTTGTTCCCAACTGGAAGGAGGATAACTGATGCCGATTGTAGAGGGCCAATAGCTTATAAATCGCCGTCTGGCGGTTCTGATGATGGTGGTATCGTTGTTGGGTTTCTCATAAATATACCCAGGCGTGATTCAAACAAAATCATCACCGATGGAACTGAGATCAGTAGCTCAAGCAAGGGTCTATCTGGCGGCTCTAGGGGAGGTTGTGGCTTTTCCACTAGATCCATAATCGTGTCCAATTTTCTTCCTCTTTTAGCCTAGTTGTATCTACATATATGAACTTCCATTATGCTTCATTCGTAGTCTTTTCTAATGCTGACCTTTGGACGATTAAAAGAGGTAACACACACCAAGGTAGAATCCAACAATTTTCGATAGTTTTTAGTAGTTTAAAGCGGTTTCCGATAGTTACACGGCAATTTCATACAATTATCCAATAGTTTCTAACAATTTTTGGCAGTTTGCGGTAGTTTTTGAATAGTTTCCGACAATTATTTGACAGTTTCTAACAATTATCCAACCGTTTCTGACACTTACCCAGAAGTTGTTTGGAAGCTTCTGACACTTTTCTAGGAGTTTCCGACAGTTCTGACAGTTTTGGGCAGTAATACGGCCGTTTTCGACAAATATCCAGCAGTTTCGTGTTGTTATACATCAATTATTATGTAGTTTCAAGCAGTTACACAATATTAGCAATTCATTCGCTCTGTCTCGAGATCCATTAACTCGAACCAATAATAGAAACTCAAAATTCATATACATGAAAAATATATTATTGATTGAAATTTAAACTATTACATAAAGAAATCTCTATAATCTAAGAGTCAAGTGTTCTTAAGAGGAGAGATGATTCTAAACTAAATCCAAAAAACTTCTTATCCAAAAATACATATCTCATTTTCTATTGGTGTCCTTATTTAACTATCCTTCCTCATTCAGACAAAATAAGTTATAATTGATTCTTTATTAGGCCTTTCTATTGAACTAAAAGCCCAAAACCAATATCCCATCAATGAACTATAGAGAGGTTGGACTCGTATAAATTTATGCAATTTCTATTTTTTCTACAATGATATTTGAGATCGTTAATTAGCATGACTTAGTTATTATATATATTTTTTTAATAAGTGCCAGTAAACAATTAGGCTTAAATATGATCCATATAGCTCGTAACGGCGGTAGCGCACCAATGCTTGTAATTTTGCATGTTCTAATGTGATTTTGGACGTTGTTATTGGGCATGTTTTATTCTTTGAAAGATCACTGGCAGTGTATAAAATTTTAACTGAATATATTCTCATACTTTCATTTTTTTTTTTTTGACAATTTTTCATGAAATAATTTGATGAATGAATAGAAAAAAAATAAATACAATATACACTACAAGAAATATCATCTCCAACCACATATTTTTGTCACGTAATTATCATGTGACTAAAAAAAACCAGTTGCGATGTGATAATCACGTGACAATATGTTTTATTAATAAAATAAAGAAGCATGATGGTTGTATGAGTTTTTTAAAATAAAAAATTATGTTGCGACGTGGAAATCACATCGCTAGTAAATATATAATATAAAATATTTTAATTGGTCTAACGTTCAAATAGATAGATTTTTGAAATTTTGAAAAAGTCAGTTGTGACGTGGTATTCACGTCGCAACATTTAAGAGGAAAAATCAAATTAATTCAGACTGACATGATCAGCTTTTGCAGGCATGTGAAGAAAGATAATATGACCGTTGGCATTGTTGCGACGTGAATGTCACGTGGCAAAGTTGCGGCGTGATTTTCACGTCGCTGAATGATTTATATATTTAATTAAATCACGTTACACCAAACACAAGAGAGTAGTATATTTTCAACAAACACAACTCTCCCTCTCTCATTCCATCCCAATCTCCATTAACCCTCTTATTCTTCATAAAATCCAACTCAATCTCTATTATAAAACCTCTTCTTTTTCATAAAATCCAACTTCAATCTCCATTAATCATTGTTTCTCAGGTAAATTTAATTTAATTTTGTCTCTATTTTGTTTACAAGTTTTTTATTTATTGTATTATGTGATTATAATTTATTTTAATTTTTCTTTGAATAGAAGAAGATTGATATAGTAGAAGTAGATTGCAAAAAGGTTGGACAAGAAGATTGAAGGAGTTAGAAGAGAAGAGGTATTTCTTGGAATTTTTTTACATTTGGTATATTTTCTGAATTTAGTTAGATTTTAGGTTGAATTTGGTTAAATTATAATATTGTAATTTTTATTAAATATAATTTTAAAAAATGAGAATATATATTATATAGGTACTTCTTGTTAAAAAACAAAAATATATATAAATAAATATTTATTAATAAACAAAAATATATATTACGATAAGTTATATATCTTGATTTATTTAATTTATTTATTATAAAAAACAAAACAAAAAACAGAATAATATATAAATTTTATAAAAAACAGTTTTAATGTTAATATATATTTTATTAAAAACAAATATAATATAATATTTTATGTATTGATTAAAAACATATATATAAAAAATAGTTTTTTATATTGAATAAAAATATATTTAAAAAACTATTTTAATATGTATATATTTAATAAAAACCGTTCAATGTTATTATTATAAAATCTGTTTTATAATTAAAAAAAATATTTAATGTTATTATTTTAAAACTCTTTTATAAGTACGCATATATAAAAAACAGTATAATATTATAAAAAACAGTATATATTTGATGTCAATATATTTTTTTAAAACAAATATAATATTATATTTTATGTAGAATGTTAATAAAAATGATTTTATAATTAAAAAAATTTATATAAAAACTGTATTATATGTTAATAAAAAACGATTTTATAATTAAAAAATATTATATAAAAACTATATTATATGTCAATAAAATATTAATATAGTATGTTAAAAAACATTATATGTCAATAATATATTATATATAATATGTTATAAAATATTATATATAAAAAACTGGTGTATGTATTTAATTATTATATATTATATGTATGTTAATAAAAACAGTTTTATAATTAAAAATTGTTTTATAAAAACTATATTATATGTCAATAAAAAATATTATATTAATTATTATATATTTAATAAACTATATTAATAGTATATTTAATAGTATATAATAAAAAATATTATATATTGAAAATAGTTAAAATAAAAGCATATGTTTATGTTTAATAGTATATATACATAGTATATTTTTTAGTAGTAATAAGAACAAGAACAATATGTTTAGGATTATTATTAAGTTGATTAATTAATATTTTTAATTAAAAGAGTTTTGATTATATAAATTTGCAGTAAATGGAATATTATAGGTATTATCGTAGTTGGATGTACGATAGACTATATCCAGGAAGACGCGCACTTAAATCCAATTTTATAGACGAAGTTAATGGTTTTATCACGTGGACGTTTGCTCAGAAACGTTGTCGAAGTGAAGGAGGAGTTAGGTGTCCTTGTCTTAAATGTGGATGTAGATATATAATTAGTGACCCAGAGGAAATAACACGTCATTTGCATAGAAAAGGTTTCATTGAAAATTATTGGGTTTGGACGTATAATGGTGAAACACTGTCGAGTAATGTATCAGAGACTAGCAACACAGATGCTTCAAGTAGTCGACCGGCTATGGAATTTGAGAAAAACTTTAATCTGATAGGTGACATGGTTGATGATGCTTTTGGTGTTAACGTGACTTATGATCAACCACAAGATTTTGACGGGGAAGAGTTGCAGAACGAGGAAGCGCAGAGATAATATTTTGATAATTTATATATTTTGATATATTTAGTTTTATTTTTGATAATTTGATTTATAATATTGAATTTAATAAATAAATTATAATATTTAATTTATAAATTTAATGAAACAGAAAATAATATTAATTATTAAATCAGAATTATTATATTTAAAACAGAAAATAAATTTTAAAAAAAAGTTGCGACATGTTTTCCACGTCACAAATTAGTGACATGAAAAAACACCGCAACACACAACGTAAAAGTGCATATAAAACCTACTCTGACCTCTGCTCTGCTCTGACTGTCTTTGACCCCATAAAGTTTGTTGCGGCGTGAATTTCACGCGGCAACATTGTGACATGTTTTCCACGTCGCAACAACATTGTCACGCGCTCTCCAGCGACGTGTTTCTTCACGTGACAAAAACAAAATTGTGACATGATTTTGGTGTTAGCGACGTGGGAGTCACGTGACAACACACAACTTATTTTGTAGTGATATTTTGTCCCGAATAAATAGAACTGCAATAACGTAATAGCCATATATAAATAACTATATTTGAAGTTAGATCTATGCATGTATCATAAATCCAAATCTTTTTATACACTACAATCCTCTCATTCTAAAAAGAAAGTTAAAATATCTTTCTTCTTTGTTAAAAATTTTTTTTTTAACACTTGAAATAATAAAGGACTCAAAAAAATTATATATTTTTTTTGATTAACAAGGCTATTGAATTGCACCTTTATAATCTGTATTTTTATTAATTCGAAGGAGATAAAAGAATTCCCAATAAAAAAAAACACACACTATATATTCCCTCTAAAAAGAGAGTATACATAATTATCCACAAATGAATTCCTATATAAAAAAAAATGCCTTTTTTTATGGACTGTAATATTTGGTTTTTATTTTACATTGTTAAGAAAAATGGTATAAATGGCTAAGCATCATTGGGGGCTATCCAATGTCTTCCATTGACGAAGCTTTTCCTGATAAATGGATGTGCAGATTCGAAATCCAACTCTTGGGCCCACGACACCCCACGTACTGCATCTGCACCTGGTCCCCAACATTTATACACTCCAAAGAACACAGTCCTAATTAAAACAAAACAATAATGTCATAACCAAAACAATTACTATTATTACTATTATATAATTAAAATGAAACATTTTTGAATCTAGATTACTTGTTTTTGTTGTTGGCGTGATCCCAATCATCCCAACCACCGTGTGCAACTATATTATCGAAGTATGTGTATGCGTATACTATTCTCGAGTATTGGCCCATTGCCCGGCCCACATATAATGGGCCTGAGCCCGTAACCTTGCATCGTACAAATGCGAAGCCTGTTTTCTCTGTTGGGTCATTTCTATCCTGTGCTGCTATAGATCCGAACCTCGATGCTATCGAATGTAGTTCACAATCCTGAACCAACCAAATCAAAGTGAGGTTTCAATGTTAGTCACAAAGATTTAAATAAAAATAATTAAATACAGACCTTGAAAAAGTACCTTTATCTTAATTGGTCCATGAAAAAGTGGGTAAAAGTTTATTTCCAATAGAAATTGCCTTAATTTAATGTTTTTTACGCATCTCAAAGTTGAAAAAATTAATTTCTTTGATGAAATCTTAACAATCTCATTAGACTTATGAAAAAATGAAGATAAACAATGGAGGCATTACCTTGTAGATGGATCTGCCATTTCCAAAGATGAAATCAATGGAACCTTCAATGTAGCATTCTTTGAAGTAATGCCTACCAGCATCATCGCAAAGTGTATCTTGTGCACCGTAGAATCCACAGCCGGAGAAGTAAGCTTTGTCGCCTGATATCCGAAACGCCACCGCTTGCCATCCCTGCATCCCCGGCATCGGTGCTGGTGCCGTGTTCTGCATGCATCACTCTTACATCACTAAATAACCCTATAACTTATACTAAGTGAAAAAAATAACGACACATGCAGTGCAAGGTCACGAGAATGTAGGGACATATTTACAATTTTGGAACGTAGCTATAGATTAAGACAACACATGCAGTACGATTAGTTATAGTTATTAATATGTCAATCTATATTTGATAAATTAAATAAACTTGTAATAAATTATGTAAATGTTTTGAAAAAACGAATTACCTTGAAGGTGATATTTTTTGCAGAGAAAAAATTAGCGAAAACAGTAACAGAAGCAGTTCTATAAGTCCGTAGCTGTTGTCCATTGGGACCAGGATCACTCGCTCTATCATGCCATTCTATCACTGTCACCTCTCTCCCTTCACCATGAAACGTTATGTATGGTTTCGTCACGGGAACCACCACTTTCTCTCTGCACCACACAAAAACTATAGTGTGAAAAAATATAACTAATAGTAGTAGAAAATGCAAATTGAGAGTTATCTTTGGTACTAGTTCATACTTGTATTTTCCAGCGCTGATTTTAATAAGCACGTTCATTGTGTTGTTGTCGGGGACAGCATTGACGGCATCTTGAACGGAACTGAACTGGCCTCCGCCGTTGACGTCAACCGTTATTACGCGGTGACCAACAGGTCCGATCCAAGGGTGGTTGTTGTTGGAGGAGTTTGAAGAAGATAAATAGCTGGAGGTTTTGTCGTGATAGCGTGCACCATTTGTCAGTATTCCTGCATTTAACAACATGCAAGTGAAAACCAAAAATAATCGCAGTGAATGGAAAAGAGTAGCGTTAGCCATTATAGAATATTGAATGCAAGCAAGTTAGAATAGAATGTTTGAAAGAGAATTTGTTTGATATATTGTATTTATTGTATATTTATAGCATAATGCATATGGGATTGGGAAAAGTGTGATTAAAATAATTGTTATAATATACTAATGTGAAAGTGAAAAGGAAGAGGAAATGAGAGGCACTAATTTCATTTGTATATTTTATAGTGAGAGGTATTTGTCTGCATTATATATTATCGTTGTGAATTGTGAATAAGAGTTAATATGAGCAATAGATAACGGTATTTCCAACGGTCATATTTATGGGGCAATGTAGGTTAGCCATTGGAAAATGTTTGATTGGATAAATGTTGCGACTTGTGGGTCATCATCCTTTGGACTATTACTCTCGTGAGATACTGCCTACTTAGGTTTAGTGTATAGCTTGTCGCCAAAGTCCAATCTTTTGGAGTCTAAATTAGGATGGAGAGGGTAATAAAGTAAACTTAATCTTTGAGAAAAGGAAAGAAAAAGACATCAAGTTGCACATGCAGTCATCGTTCCAAACGAAATCAGGTAGATCCTAAACATAAATTTTGTTTTGACTGAGAATGTATTAGACAAAAAGATGTGGGTGCTATTACATGGAGAGGCTAAAGAAGTAGCAAAAGATGTTTGGGATTTGGGGAAAGAGTACGGATTAATACATAAAAGGGAGGAAGGAGAAATAATCTAAGAACTGGTGTTAGGGGTAAAGAGCGGAGAGGGAACATCTCCATAGAGGAGTATCTTGTGGGTGGGCAGGAGTCAAATCTTCTCCATGAAATTAATAAATTACAATATAAGAGGCTTGGGTGTGGTTTGGTTAAGAAAAAAAAATCCATAATCTAATTCAAAGCCATCAGTTCGACGTTGTTAGTTGCATTCAGGAAATAAAAATGGAGTTTATAGAAAGAAGTCGGTGTTGGATCTTGAACAAAAATCTGAATAGAATCACATTTTTTCTAATTCTGTGAGGTTGGGAAATACTGTGATTTTTAGATCTGAGTGAATTGTACAAGGTTAAAGATGAATGGAAATGGTAGACTGAGTACCAAATTTTCTGTTTTTGATGGCAAGAACTGGAACAAATGGATGATTCAGATGCATGTGTTGTTCGTTGTTCAAGATGTTCTTAAGCTTGTTATCGAAGGTTATGTTCCAGTTGCAGAAAATGCAACGGAAGAGCGGAGAAACACATAGAGAGACAAGAGGAAGAAAGATCAGAAGGCGTTGTTCTTCATCCATCAATGTGTGGATGAGAATGTGTTTGAGAAAATTGTAGATTCGACGATTTCAAAGGACGCGTGGGACATACTGGTTAGATGTTATGGTGGTGACGCATCGGTGAAAAAGGTGAAGCTTCGGTCCATGCGAAAGCAATATGAGAATCTCAATATGAAGAACAATGAGAAGGTTTGAGTATATCTCTAGAGTGATTATGATCATCAATGAGATGAAGGCTTGTGGAGAAACCCTTTCTGAACAAGTAATCATTGAGAAGATATTAAGATCACTTCTTCCTCAATTTGATTACATTATTGTAGCAATTGAACATTCTAAAGATTTGGAAATCATTAGAATATAAGAGATGTAAAGCAGTTTAGAGGCACATGAGTTGTGTCTGACTGAAAGAACTTCTGAGAGGGAAGTTGAGCAGGCTCCGAAGGCTTCTTTTGTCAAGAAGGACCAGAAGCATTCATGGTCAGAAACCAAGAGTAGACGTGGTGATAGATTCTAGAAGTCAGAAACTTCTACTTCAGAAGAAACCTCAGAAGGGAAAGGAGAAGTTTGACAAGAAGAAGGTTCAATGTTATTGTTGTAAGCAGTTTGGCCATTTTGCTAAAGATTTCTGGTCAAATAAGGGAAGGAAATCAGAAGAAGCAAATATAGCCAGAGGGGGATTCAGATGATGAACCTGTGCTATTTATGGCTTCTGAGTCTGATGGAAGGTGTTTGGCAGACTGGTGGTATATGGACACAGACTGTTTAAATCACTTGACTGGAAACAAACGATGGCTGATAGATTTTGACTCCAGAAGGAGGAAAAAAATCAGATGTGTTGATGATAAATACCTTAATGTATAAGGTATGGTAAATGTCAAAGTTAAAGTGAAGAATGGGAAGACCGTTCTGATCAAGGATGTTTGGTATGTTCCTAGAATTAAGAGCAATCTGATGAGTATGGGTCAGCTCGCTGAGAAAGGTTTCTCAGTTATTATGAAGGATAATCTCTTGAAGTTGTATAATGCTAATCAGAAGATGATTATGCAATCAGAATAAGGAAGCAACAGGACATTCAAGGTGAACGTGGAGACAGCAGAAGCAGAATGTCTTAGTTCAGAAGACGCTGAAGTTTATAGTAAGTTGTGGCACAAGAGGTTAAGGTATCTGAACTACATAAGCTTAGGGCATCTGAGTTATAAGAAGCTCGTGCGTGGCATTCTAAAGATTGTGAAGCATGAGAAGTCATGTGAGATAAGCATGAAAGCAAGAAACCCATATTGCCATTTGTGTCAGAAGCAACCCCAAGAGAAAAACATGCTTTGGGAGTAGTGCATTATGATGTGTGTGGACCATTTCCAGAACCTTCACTTGGAGGAAATATATATTTTCTGTCTTTTATGGATGAGTTCACAAGAATGACGTGGGTAATACTCATAAAATTTAAACATTAGGTGTTTATAGAGTTCTAGAAGTTTAAGGTGAAGGTTGAGAAACAAAGTGGTCATAAGTTGAAGATTCTCAGAACGAATGCTGGAGGTGAGTATAACTATAAAATTCCCGAAGTTCTGTGATAAAAATGGAATTTAGCATGAGGTTACTTCTCCTTATACTCCTCAACACAATGGTCTTGCTGAAAGAAGAAATCATACTTTACTTGATATGACTAGAAGCATGCTGAAAGAGAAGAAGCTACCTCATAACTTATGGAGAAGTTGTAGCCACGTCAGCATATGTGCTCAATATGTGTCCAACGAAGAAGCTAAAGGAAATCGTTCCTTTCAAAAGGTGGACTGGAGATGAGAAAAGTGTTAGTCATCTGAAGGTGTTTGGTTCTGCGTGTTACAAACACGTTCCAAAAGCTAAGAGGAAGAAGCTAGATGACAGAAGCAAAGTAATGATTCTGGTGGGGTACCACAGTATAGGTGCATACAAGCTTTATTGTCCATAAACGAATAAAATTGAAGTTAGCAGAGACGTCATTGTAAAAGAATTAGAAGTATACGATTAGAGAAGGTCTCAATCTATTTCTGAAGATAATCCAGAACTTGATAGTTCTGAAGAAGAGTCAGAGTCAGATGGTGAATTTGATTCTGATCCAAATTTTGATGATGATCCAGAATCTAGTGATGGTCATGCTTCTGGAAGGGAAAAATCTGAATACGTAGGTTCTAGAGGACAAGCTTCTGAAGATGATCATGTTTATGGTGAAGGTCATGATTCTGAAGGTGGAACTTCAAAAGGTAGAGGTTCTGAAGGAAATTCAGAAGGTGGAACTTCTGATAGTGGTCAATTATATGATATTGTTCCAGAATTGAAGAGTTTCTGAACAAGCTCAGAGGCCATAGAGAATCAGACGAATACCAAGAAGGTTTGAAGAGTTTGACATGTTGCAAGATACTGAAGTAGATTTAAAAGGAGAAATTGTTATGTGTGTCATGTTAGTGGACTCTGAACCTGTAAGTGTTGAAGAAGCTCTCAAGAAGAAAGTATGATTGAATGCCATGAAAGAAGAACTTGAGGCTATAGAAAGAAACAAGACTTGGAAGTTAACTAAGCTTCTAGATAAGAAGAAAGCCATCAGCGTTAGATGGATTTTCAAGGTGAAGCTTAAGCCATATGGATCAATTGGCAAGTACAAAGCAAGGCTAGTCGCAAGAGGTTTTCTTCCAAAACCCGGGATAGATTACTTTGAGGTGTTTACACCTGTAGCGAGACATGAAACAATAAGACTCGTGATTGCTTTAGTTGCTAATAGCAATTGGCCTCTGATGCATCTGGATGTGAAGTCTGCATTTCTGAAATGTCCATTACAAGAAGAGGTATACGTGTCACAACCTCCTGGATTTGTGAAAAAGAATCAGGAAGGGATGGTGTACAAATTACATAAAGCTATGTATGGATTAAAGCAAGCGCCCAGAGCTTGGAATTTGAAGATTGATTCATTTTTCAAGAAACAAGGTTTTCAGAAGTGTGAGAAGGAGTATGGCGTGTATGTTCAGAATTCTCAAAGCAATATGATTCTGGTATGTCTTTATGTTGATGACATATTACTGATGAGAAGTTGTTCTAAAGAAGTTGTCAAGTTCAAGAAGACTCTAATGAATGAGTTTGAGATAACATATATGGGAAATATGGTATATTTTCTAGGGATGGAGATTTTGTACTCTGAGAAGGATATCATTTTCCATCAACTTATCATACCCCAAATTTGTCGTACTAGTTTCTAATCTTTTATTCCTAGAAATATCATTTTGCTTTATATGTTCATGGGGTTTAGTTTTTGAAAGGGGGTTTAATGGGCTTTTCTAAATTAGAAAAGCCCATATATAAATTTTAAGCCCATTTTGTTTCGATTATGACTCTTTGATATTTACTCTCATTTAATTTGTAAAGGGTTTTATATTGTTAAAAGCTCTTGGGCCTTTCTAGATCAGAAAAACTCATATGAATTTTTAAAAAAGGCCCATTGCATTTTGGGTAAGACTTTGTTTTGGTTTCAGCCTATTTCCAAACTTTGAAGGAGGTTTACACTATTTGAGAACTCTTGGGCCTTTCTAAATCTGAAAGGCCCATGTAGAGTTATTTGCACATTTATGAATAAATGGAAGGGGGGAGGGGGGGGGGGGGGGGGGGGGGGGGGGTACTGAATAAATCTCTTGGAATAATAAGAAGAGGGTATGTTTTATTTTAATCAAAGAGGCCCATAAACAAGTCGGTTTTGTTAAAATCCCAATTATTTAAACCATTATGGCCCATTTCAG